TAATTCATTACGATCAAACAAAATAATTTCAATTTTTCGTGCAACAAAATAATCTTCAGTACCATAAATTTCAAGCCATTCCGATAGAAATTTATATAGTAAATTTTGTAAATCACCTTCAGCTCGAATATCAATTTGTTTCATATCACGATTTTCAATACCTTCAATATCAGTCATATATCCAAACATACCCATAACTACCTAAAAAAGAATTGAAATATATTTCATTTTGATAGTTGATCTTTTGAATGAAAAAGAAATAAGATTTCTTTAATATTAAGCTTATTAGTAAGATTGAAAGATTAAACTTCTGACAGATAAAACTTTTCTTAACATGAAAATTCGATTATAGATGAATTGTAAATAATCCAATAAAGTATTTTCTGATCAGCATTTCCTTTCATGCTAGATAGAAAAATTTCTTTTATTTACACTGTTCGAACTAATAAATACTCGTACGAGATAGACTATTTTGATACGGAAATGAGATATAGAGATGCACGGAAGTGAGAATCCTTGAAAAATATTTATCATAAAAACAAAATAAAATCGTAAACTTTGTTTCTTACTATTAATAATAACACATTTTATTATGAATATATAATATGATTTTAAACTATTATTCATAATCAAAATATTTGATATTATTCTTTTTCTCTTCGATCACATTTTTGACATCATAGTTCAAAACAAACTATTGACTTAACGTTCTATAAATTCAATTCAATCAAGTAATGTTGCTGTTTTTTTATACAGATTGATAATTTTAAAAATTATGTCTTATAAAACTAAAGTAGAAATTCTTTATTTATATATTCTGATATAAAAAGGAACACATAAACTATAGGTATGAGATAATGGACATTATGAGAAACATGTATAATTTTTAGGTTTTAAAAAATACAGTTAGGGTATGTGCAATGTTTTAGATCACATAGATAATTCATCACAGGCTAAATATTTCATTAACTAACTTGTTCAAATGATTCTTCGAGGGAATCACCCCATGCATGAATTTGTACATCAGCTGTATTATCAAGAAACTCATATTTAATATCGGGATAATCAAATTTAACATCTTCATTTGATGATGATGGACCATTTTCTTCTTCATCTTGACTCGATTTTATATTTGATTCTTTGTTTTTATTCTGAGTATCTTTTGACATTTTGTATTTTTTTTAATGTCGTTCAAATGTTGGATTTAATTCAGTTTGTTTTTCAGCTAGACGTTGTTGTTCAATAAGTTCAGCTTGATTTTGTCGTATAGTAAGTGCTGTTTCAAGACGATCTTTACCTCGTCGACGAATATCTGGTAAATATTCGGTTTTAGCTTTATATAATTGATGACAAACAGCAGCAAATGCAAGACCAGTAAGACCAATTAAAATTGTCGCTGTTATTCGATGTGCTCGATCGTAAATAGCAGTACGATTTTGTATTCGAAATAGACGGGCTAACATTTGAAATAACAATTTTGAAACATACGAAACTCTTCCAGAGATTATTGTTTTATTATTCTACATCTATCCTATGGTAAAACTTGGATAGAATGGATTTTTTTATGACATTTATTTATAAGAATTTATTATACAATAATTTATACATTATAATAAATATGAATAAAAATAAAAATGTAAATCATATAAAAAAAACATATATGTCTGTAGATGGTAGGAGTGTTATTATGATTCATCGAACGGGGGTGGTTGATTAACTGAATCATTTTATGAATTGATTCTGTATAATACAAAAATCATTTTCAAATATGACGACTACTCCATTACACGAAATGTCACAGGTAAGGTCGACACGGATTCTTTTCTCTCACCTTTTCAAATTTACCTTTATATTTCTCTAGTTAAATTCTAAACTTGATGAATTAGCTCGATTAACAGAATCTGAATATGAAACTAGTAAAACGGTGATTCTTTTTCAATATTTCGATAAAATCTATACATTATGTTATGGTACGCCTAATTTTCAAACATTAATTGATACATTAATTCAAAGAGAATATGCTAGTAAGTATTAAAATAATTATTTTACTATAAAAGCATGTCAATTTCTTAGAATTTTGTTCTGCAATATTTAAACGTATATATATGGATGTATTTAAAAGTCAAGATCGTTGGCATATTACTTATTATTTAGTCCATTCATTATGGAATTATACAGATAAAACGAATGCAATGTGTACCGTATGTATCGAAAAGAATTTAGAATTTAACAAAAATTATTTTTATTATCGCTTGTAGGCAATTGTTAATGCACAACTTATTCCGATGTTTACATTTAATCTCAATCATGATAATTATTTAAATAACTTCTCTGCTAATGATGTTTGTTTATAAAAAGATTGATATTATTTATATATTTTTTATTTTGTTTTATTTAGGCTATTAAAAAATTATTCGATATGATTGTTTCAATTTTACATAATATTGCACAAGTACCTGAATTAACTAGTGAATTAAGACGACATCAATGTTTAGAAGTACGTTCATAAGAGGAACATAAAATATTAAAATTTTCATTTTGATTTTTTCATAGATTTTAAATAAATTAATTCAAAAAATTGGTTTACATAATGTTTTTCTCAAAGGAATATCCTATTTAACACTTGCTTATATTATTCGAGAAGATGAACGTACCACCTATTTAACAAATTCTAATGGTATTTATATTATAACTTGTCGTTTTTTTTAACATAAATAATTGCTTTTTATTATTTAGAATCAATACCTTATCTCGTTGATCTTTTGAACAAAGCAGTAAATAGTCCAGATCGTCGATCAAATGGATTAGAAGCACGTGAATTATGTAAAGGTCTATCGAAATTATCTGTTGCGAATGATAATAAATATAAAGTATGATAAAAAACTTTAGAATTTTTATTTCTATGATTGTCTTTTTTTTTAGATTTATATTGAATCAAAACTACTTGATAGTTTATTAAATATGCTTGAACAACATTCCAGTAGTCAAGAACAAATCTCTGCGTGTACACTTATTTGGAATTTAGCATTCGATCAAAATGTTCGAAAAATTTATAGTGAACATAAACAATTAAATCAAATTTTAACAAATATTGCACAAACATCATCAAATGATGAATTACGACGATCAGCATCAGGTTGTTTATGTACATTAATGGGAGGACCAAAACCTCCAGCAAAAGCATCATCAGCACCACCAGAAAATAAAAGAGTTATGATTTCATATAATCACGATGTTAAACATTTATCAAAACAAATAAAAGATCATTTAGCTGCTGATGGATATGATGTTTGGAGTATGAGATAAAAATAATTTAAAAAAAAAAATTTATCCTTTTTTTTCTCTTTAGTTGATCTTGAAAGAATGCATGGAAATTTATTGGATTCAATGTCGGATGCTATTGAAACTTCATCGATTCTTCTTATATGTTTAACTGAAAAATATAAAGATTCACCAAGTTGTCGATTAGGTATTAATATTTATTTATTCTTACCAAGAAATAGAAATTCTTTTCATAGAATGTGAATATGCATATCAACAAAAAAAACATATTATTCCACTTCTTTTACAACCAAATTATAAACCTGAGTGAGTCATATATAATAATATATTTTCGAATAATAAATTAAAAATATTTTCGAATAATAAATTAAAATTTTTAAAGTGGTTGGCTTGGTATTATTGTTGGTAGTAAAATATACATAAATTATGCAAAAAAATCGTTTGATGCAGCTTATTCGGAAACACTTGGCGAGCTACAAGCACTTCAAAATCGAGTAAATACAAAATCAACAATATCACCACCGAAGAAACGTATGTTTTTACGTTAAGATTTTCTTTTTTGCATTAAAAATATTCTTTAGTTGCTCCTCCACCGGAACCACCTCGTCCATTATCAACAGCAACAATAGCAGCAGCAGCAAATGAAACAATTACGACGAGAGCTACTCCTCCTCCTAATGCTATTGTTCATTTGATGTCACAATTTCGAATGGATAATGTATCTGCACCAATGCCAATTACATCGGCAACTTTAGAAAAAATGACACCTAAAGAAACACACAATTTCTTGATTGAGAATGGATTAGAAAAGTAAGGTTTCTCAAATTGAAACATTATTCGATATTTATTTTTTTTTCTTTTTATTAGTTTTCTACCAATTTTTATCGATATGGACGGTATTAAATTAATGAAATTATTTGAAATTAAAAATAAAGTAAAATAAAATATATTTTTATATTTTTGTTTTATTTTAAATATTTCATTAGGCACCACAATTTTATTATATGCTTATTAAAGACAAATGGGATCAAATGAATCAAGAAGCCAAAGATCAAAGGTATTTATAAAATTATTTTTCAAACTTTTGTTTAATTTTCTTCTTTAAGTTATAGTCGAAAATTACCAACATCAATGGCTCAATTCCTTCAATTAACCGTTATTCTAGATAAATTAGCTGACCGATTTTCATCGAAATAATTAATTTTTTAGTCAAAACAAAACTTATCTCAGATATTTCATCTCAAAGACTATCATTTGACTTGGTTTAGTTTCTTTTTCTACTTATTATTATTATTTATACGAGTATGCCATTTTTTTTGTATTTTAATCTAGATGATTGTGTAATATTATGAGATTTGAACGAATGATTAACATTATATATATTTACTGATGTTGTGCGTACGAAAATAAAAGATTTCAAAAGATTTCAATTTTTCACTTACAAATGGGACGAACTAATTTCTTTGATAAATAAAAAGAAAATTAATTTTATTTTGTAAACCATCTTGAATAAATAAAATGAACTATATTCTGCAAGAGAAAGAAAATACATACAAACATATAGAATCAAAAACAAAGAACAACAGGAAAAAAATATATTAATAAATCTACATTTACAGACAATATGAACGTTAAATATATTAATATATATATACACATGATAATAGATAGAATAAGATCACCGCATAATCATTTCACCAATATAATTTCTTTTGTATTTATGATTTAATATCCTCGAGTTCACCTTCATCTGAATTAACTGTTTCTAAAATACTTACTGTACGTGATAAATATCGTTCACTTGATGATCGTGTTGCTGCATGATTTCCTGACTCACTTTGTATACGTTTTCGCATTCGTGATGATACTAATGATGTTTGTCGAGATAATTGTGATGCATTTCGTTTTGGATAGTATAGTTTTGCATCAGATACCATACGAACAAACATTGGACGTGGACGTTTATCTCTTAATAAATTTGATATTGGTTTTTCAAATGTAACACGATGATGTGGTGTCATTGTTGTTATCGTATTCGACTAAATATATATGAATAATTCATTTGTTTTTTTTTCATTTCTAATTTCATATATTTACTCGAACTTTAGTAATTGGATAATATATTGTTTCTGTTAATGATGGTTCTGGATTTATGACTTCTTCTGATACAGTTATATCTTGATCAAGATTTGTAATAGAAGCTTGTTTAATAGCTGATTCAAGAGAATCAGCTGATGCTGATTGTCGTCCATTACGTTGAGCACGATGTTCAGCAATAACACTATCAGCATGTTCTTGTATAATATGAAATGCTACATGCATATCATCATCCGTTGCATGTTTCGCACAAACAGCAAAACGTATTATATATAAATCATTCACCATTGATGGAACCATATGTATACGACCCGAATCATTCAAAGATAAAAGTAATTTTTGACTTAATTTATTACTACCCTAGGATTAAAATAAATTCATAATAGAGAAAAATTAGATACAAAAGTATATTTTCAAATACTTTTAAACGAAAACAAACAAGACCTAATGTAACATCACCAATAATATCAAAACGACAATCTGTACTAATCAATAATTCAAATACTTTTGCTAAACGACAATGCTAAATTAAGACAAAATTCATGTTAAACTTTAAAATGATTTTTCTCTCTATACTTCTCGAATATAATGACGAAGACCTTCGATACCATAGCTTCGAATTGTAAACCAAAGTTTTAGTGAACGAAATCGACGACTTAAAGCAACACCCCAGTGCTACATAGATATGAAAGATAATATGAAAAACTGGATAAGAATTAATTCATTTACTCGATAATCAACTGCTTGTTGAGCATGTTTATGTTGAAGATAAAGTGGATCAACAGACATTGCATTAATCAATGCAAATTTATCTCGAACCCTATAATTAAATATTGTCTTCTACTCTAACAATGTTTTTTTATAATGTTTTACCAAAAACATGAACAATCAAAATTCATTAATAACCATTTATTTGGATTTGTATTGAATGAATCCGCATACTTAAGATATGTAAAGTACTGAAAAAAGATTTTTATTAAAATCAAATCTTACTTCTAATCCTTTCATTATATATCGAAATTCTTCACAAATAAAAGCACTACCAGCATAGGCACCATCAACATGAAACCATAATTGTTCACGTTGACATATTTCACCAATTTCTTTAAGATTATCATATGAACAACATGATGTTGTACCTAATGTACCTGATACCTAAAAATAAAAATTTTATTTTTAAAACTATATAAAAACAAACTATTTAACAAACCAAAAATGGAATTAGCCCTTTTTCTTTATCAGCTCGAATACATTCTTCAAGTGTTTTACCACGTAATGAAAAATGTTCATCAACAGCTAATTGACGAACACGAACCATTGCAATTAATCCAGCTTTTTCTACACATGAATGTGCCTTAAAATAAATAATTCCTTGTATAAAAAACAAATAGTTAAATATTTTTGTTGAAAATTTACCAATTTTGATGTATAACAAACAAGTCTCGCTAAAATTTGTCCATCTTCAATTAATGGATCAGTTAGACGTTTACTGGTAATTTTCTTTGTTCGAGCAGCTAACATTGCAACAAGAATACATTCACTTGCTGAGCCCTATGAAATGAAATAGAAAAATAAACGTTGTTTTCTTTTAAATTAAATATAGAAAATTCACTTACAAGAATAACACCACCACCAATATGTTCAGCTTGTTTTTCTTCATCATTATTCTTAACTGAATTAAGTAAATGATCTTCATTTATGTCATCATCTTCATCAGTTTGAGAAGAAGATTCATTATCACTTTCTTCATAATCATGATTTGGATCAAATGGAAGAAAAGCAACGGGTAAATCGATCATACGACCTAATTAAATATTTAATCAGAATAAAAAAACTTATTGAATGTTTTCTTCTTACCAATCCAATCTAACATGATTGTTTCCAATTCTGTACATGCTGGACTAGCTGCCCATGAAAAACCAACAATACCGAGGCCAGAAGACAACATTTCACCAAGGATCGATGGATAACTATTTCCAGCAGGGAAATACGCATGAAAACGTGGATGTTGCCAATGTGTTATACCAGGCATAATAGCTTGTTCAACATCTTGCATTATATTTTCCCATTTTTCACTTTTTTCTGGTGCATTTTT